GGCACGGGTAGGTGTGGGGGACCCTCTCGGTTTCCGAGCCAATATGTATTCCTCGTGCAAAGTCATGAGAAACAGGTAACATGGTTAATTTGTTGCTACTTGCGGACCCTTTCAACAGTGACTACTCTCAAAGCACAGAAACAGGAGTAGCCCACTGAATCTGCATCCCATTCAATACAAACATGCCTGATCAAACACTTCAAATGTCTTTTATCCACTCTGTCCCCAGAGCACTTTGAGCTGTTGGCAATCAGAAATCTATCAACCTCTACATTAAATGCACGAAAAGACGAAGCTTCTGCAGCCCTCTTGTGGTAGAGGATTCCAAAGACTAACAACTTCAGAATAAAAAAAATTTCATCACAGTCCAAATTGCTCCCCCTTTATTTCAAGTTGCGGCCCCTAGTTCGAAACTCCGCAACCAGGGGAAACATCTTAATTGCGTCTAATCTATCGCGTTAAATATTTGGTATGTTTCAATGAGGTCACTTCTCATTCTTGGGAACTTTAGGCAAACTGGGTCGGTATTCTCCAATCCCGCCATCCCAGGAACAAGTCTGGGAAATCTCTGTTGCACTCTATCTGTGCCAATAACATTCTTGCTGGGATAAGGAGACCGAAACTGCACACAGTGGACACAAACAGTAATTCACTGCTTGCACAGTGTTTTGGAATTGCCGGACGTTGAAGAACGGGCTTTAAAAATGTATATTCTTTGTTTTTTCCCTCCTCGTTATTCACTCTGGAGCCTTTGATGACTGAGACCTGCTCTGCATACTGTGCAGGGTCCTAGAAGCAGCCTCGGGATTAGAAGGGCTGGGGCAGAAAATTTCACCGGAGCGCAGGCCAGCGATACCTACATGGGGTGGACTGGGCTCAGCGCGAGTGGGCTACACAGAACACAACATAAGGGGAAGCAACATCCACGTACCTGAAACAACCATGGCCTCATTGGGACCACACGTTTCGAACGACATGTTGAAGTTGCAGAGTCACAAAGGATCCTGAAAAAAAAGCAGAGAGGGAAAAACTACGATTAGCTGCTAAGTCACACGAAGCCAAATATACCAGGGCATTCTATCAACCACAGAATCAAACATTCCAAGGTGCTTTGTGGGAATGGTCAAACATCATTTGACAACGAGCCACACGAGATATTAAGACAGCCGCCCGAAAGCTCGGTCAGAGAGACAGATTTGAAGGACCACTTTGTAAGAGCTGAGACAGACAGAGATGTTAAGCAAGGAATCCCAGAGCTTAGGGCCCAGGCAACTAAAGGCCTGGCCACGAACGGAGGAGCAATTAAACTCCGGGATATGCTCGAGGCTAGAACCAAAGCAGATCAGAGATACTGTAAGATTGTAGGGTTGTAGGAGAGTGTTCTAGCACCAATTCTCACCTCTGATCAACCATAAGACGTGAGGCTATCTGCACAACTGCAGTCCCTGGGGAGGCGTTGCTGCCACCATCCTATTTCAGGGTAGGGGCTTTTGGTCTAACGTGGCAGAGGAAAACTGCTTGCCAGACCAAAGGGAAGAGCCTCGTCAAAGTATGAGGGAATCTGAAGGCAAGCAGCATTTGAAAATCAAAGTCTTGCCAGTCAGAGAGCCAAAGGAGGTCAGTGGAAGCAGGTGCTGCACAGGAACAGGTCTTGATAAGAGTGAGGACACAGGCAGTTTGCAAATCAAAAATGAATCCGACTGCTGTACTTTTACTACAACAGCTGCACGAACTGCTGCTACTTATACGTTTTACAGCATAGAAACAGGCCAACTGGTCTATGCTGACAATAATAAGCAAAACTCTAGCAAATCTACTTTTTTTTTTTAAGTAACAGAGGATTGATGAGGGTAATGCTTTGTGAGGGATATACATGGACTTCAAAACGAAATCACTCGATACAGTGCTGCACAATAGACTCATGAGCAAAGTTACAACACACAGAATAAGACAGACATAGCAATGTAATACAAAATTGGCCAAATGACAGGAAACAGTTGTCATTGATAGATGGAAGTTTGTAGTGAAATTCCCCAGGAGTCAATGGGACCTTACTCCTCAAGTTAATAAACAACCTAGATCTTGATGCACAGGGAGCAATTTCAAATTCCGTGGATGATATTTTTATTCTTAAGATGAGCGGAGAGAGATTTAAAACAGATATGGTGGCAAATTCTCTTTAAAGAGGGCAGTTTGTATGTGGAATGAATTTCCAGAGGAAGTGGTGGATCCAGGTACAGTTACAGTTACAATATTTAGAAGGGATTTGGACAATCCATGAATGGGAAAGGTTTGGAGGGACATGGCCAGGAGCAGGCAGGTGGGACTAGTTTAGTTTGGGATTACGTTCGGCATGGACTGGTTGGACCAAAGGATCTGTTTCCGTGCTGTATGACTGTAAGATACAAAGTTCAAACATTGTGCATGATGAGTACGGTGCAGAACTTCAAACAGGCATAGACAAGTCTGTGAAATAGACGGACTAGTGATAGTTCAATATGAAGAAATCTGAAGTGATTCATTTTGGAAGGAAGTACACAATAAAGGATGCAACTCTAAAGGAAGTACTGGGATCAGAGGTGATCAAGTGTAGAAGTCATTAAAAAGTAGTCAGACAGTTGAGGGAACAGCTAATAAAGTTCACACTACTGAATCTTAGTCTGTCACAGAGTGAAAAAGCCAAAAGGTTATGTTTGTTGAACTTGTAAAGGACATTAGCCCTGTCGCGGTACTGCATCCAGTGCTGGGTGCCACACTTTAGAAAGGATGTGAAGATGTTGGAGAGACTGCAGAAAAGATTCACAAGAATGGGATGTGGAACTTCAGTCAAGGAGATCGATTGCAGAAGCTAGGACTTATCTGCCTGAAGAGAAGGCTGAAAAGAGATTTGACAGACGATCAAAACCATCAAGGGTGTGGACAGAGAAGATAGAGAGAAACTGTTCCCACTCCCCATGAAAGGATCAAGAACACGAGGGCATGAAACTCAAAAGCAGTCATCGTTAGGCTTTTTAACTGAATTCAAATTTTACCATCTCCAGTGGTGGGGTTTGAGGGCCAATGCTCTGAGGACGTGGGTTCAAATCCTACACTGGCAGCTGGTGAAATGTGAATTCAATAAAAACAAACTGGAATTAAAGCAAAAAAATTCAAAGGGCAATTTGTGACCATTGTTGCTCATTGTAAAAACCCACCTGGTGCACCAATGCTCTCTAGAAAAGAGGTCTTGTGTTAGTGTTCCTACCTCTGAGCCATGAGACCCAGGTTGAAGTCCTACGCTCCAGAAGTGTGCAATAATATCTTTGAGCAGGTTCTTCAGAAAATATCTAAGATCAATTGCACTTCGGGAAGAATAGCAAAGAGGATGCAGAATGGAAAGGGGCAAGACTGTAGTTCCCCTTTTTTGCGGGGGGTGGGGAAACAGTTGGTGGTACAGGGGTACCCAACATCAGTCACCTGATCAGTTTTTGATGTATGAAGAGAGACCGGATCGGATAGGACTATATGCACTGGAATTATAAAGAATGGGGAGGATCTCACAGAAATCTATAAAGATTTTAACAGGAGTCAATGGGGTAAATGCGGAAAGTGTGTTCGCAATGACGAGGGAGTCCAGAACCAAGGGTGACAGCATGAGGATTTGGAGTAGACCCTTTAGGACTGAGAGGGGGAGAAAGTTCTTCACCCAGAGAGTGGTGAGGCTGTGAAATTATCTGCCACAGAACGCGGTTGAGGCCAAAAAACTGAATGTTTTCAAGAAGGAGTTAGACATAGTTCTTAGTGTGAAATGGAATGGGGAGAAAATGGGAGCAGGATAATGGGTTGGGAAATCAGCCTTGAACATGCCGAATGATGCTGCAGGCTCGAAGGGGCCAAACAGTTTATTCCTGCTCCTGTTTTCTACGCATCTAGCCTTACTCGGTCTTGGCCTACATATGACTCCAGGCCCAAAACAAGTGATGAACTCTGCTCTCCACACAGTTAGGGAGAGACAATAAATGCTGGTTTGGGCAGCGACTCCACACCCCCTGAGCAAAGTAAATACAACAGTAACCTGGGGCTCTGGCTTCCTTGTCCAGTGATCAGTACCTCCCTGCCATTTAGATCCAGTTATCCTCCCAGCTGCTTCAACACTGACAGGGGCTGCTCCATCGTTGGGTAAACACGACCGATGGGGGTGTCACTGTGCCTCAGGCGAGAGGCCAGGCTGAGGAGCACAGTCTTACATAGGGACCTCAGCCGGCACTCTGCATCGCACGCTGGCCCGTCTAACGAACTGACACCACCTCCCCCCAACCTCGCGAATTTGAGAGAGCAGAATTCTGCAAGTACTGCCTGGGGGTGTCAGAGGGAGCCCCACAGTAATCGGTAAAACGGGGGCTTCCGACTCACTGCCCTCAACCACTGCATTAAACCCCCACCGTCACCTCTTCCAGAGTTAGGCTGCAAACGTCCCGTGGTTGGTTGCTGGAAAGGCGCGTCCCATCTTGTTGGGGTCAGAGAGGAAGAAGCAGTCACTGACTGCCCTCGAGCGGTGGCTGCCTGAACGGTGCTGCAGGGACAGGGAGTTGCTGCCGACGATCAGCAGGCAGTGGGGCAAAGAGGAACCCACCATAACTGATGGGTTCACTGGCACTTGAGGCCATTTAGGGGCCATCACAGGGTGTTTCACCAGCCTCAGCTCGCTCGCTGGAGCTTCTCTCCTGAAGCTTAACGCCAAAACTCCGGCTGCGCTGCCAGAGGTGGGGGTTCCTTGTCAGGTGAGGGATCCCCACTCCATACCATCTTCCCTGTTGTGCTGAGCCTCTCCTCCGCCATCACAGGCGAAGCTCACCCTGGCCAACGTCACTGTTTCCCCAACATTACAATCATGGCCACGCTCTGAAACTACGGCGCTGACTTTGGTGGAGATGTCCGGGGATGGTAAGCGGCGCCGTACAAATGCAAGTCTCTTCTGTCTTCCAGGACGGTATTCCATGCCTTCCTGCATCCTTCCACATCCTGGCCACCCTCGAAGCAGACGGCAGACTCCGACTGGGGAAAGAAGGCAATGCCTCTGCAATCGCAGCAGCGATTAACACACGGACCAGTCTGAAGTGTGCCGAGAACAGGGAACAGGCACAAAACCCCCTGGATTACTCGGTGAATGTGAAACGGGGTGAAGCATGAACAGAAGTTGCTGGAAAAGCCTAGCATGTCTGGCACCATCTGTAAACAGAAATCGGAGTTAACGCTTCGAGTCTGGTGACCCTTCTTCAGAACTGACGCTTGCCACTACCTGCTGAGCTTTTCCAGCAGCTTCCGTTTTTGTCTCCGATTTACAGCATCCGCAGTGCTTCTGGGTTTCATGAAATTTGTAACACTTGGATGATCCGTAACAGGCTTAAACCCCAAACCTGTCTATTTGCAGTTGCGTCTCTCACATCCGCTGGATATCCTCATCCATGCCACAGCCAACTAGAGAATGTCAAAACGTAGTCAGTGTTGTTAAAATAGGCTGGCAGATCAGCCAGTTCACACACAAATCCCTGTAAACTACAATGGGATAAATGATCAGATAACGGGTTTTGATAATCATGGTTGAGGAATTAATTTTGCCGAGTAAGTTTTTTTAAGTTTTTTTAAATAGTTTTTATTTAATTGGATAATCTAGATGATTGCATTTTTCAACCTGTAATTTGTAGTGACATCATTGACACAAATGAGATTGGAGAGTTTGAGCTACAGGGAGAGACTGAATAGGCTGGGGCTATTTTCCCTGGAGGGTCAGAGGTTGAGAGGTCACTTTATAGAGGTTTGTAAAATCATGAGGGGCATAGATAGGGTGAATGGCCAAGGTCTTTTTCCCCAGGGTAGTGGAGTCCAAAATTAGAGGGTATAGGTTTAAGGTGAGAAGGGAAAGATTTAAAAGGGACCTAAGGGACAACTTTTTCATGCAGAGGGTGGAGAATGTATGGAATGAACTGCCAGAGGAAGTGGTGGAGGCTGGTACAATTGCAACATT